GTGAGCCAAATTTAATTTTTAAGGAGCGTAACCCCGAGTGGCTTTCAGGTGTGTACCTGTATACTGTTTTTTATGAATACTGTTGTCTCCTTGGTAATTAGAAAATTGCATAGTTGACTGTGCTCTCTGATAATCTCTGATGGTGTCTCTATGCTCTCTGATGCCCAGCAGTGCAGGAGACGACGTGGCGCTGGCAGCTGCGAGGAAAAAAAGAAAACACGTTTCGTAACATTAAATTCCAGAGGTTTTCCGGTCTCGCAGACAGTGTCTATTTTGACTGGGCACGGAATAAAGTGAACTGAATGTACCAGGGTGGTTGACTGGAGACATCTGAACGTTGCTGGTGGGGAGGGTGGGCTGGGACTTGAACCTGTCTCGCTCCAGTGTGGACACTGGTGTGAGAAAATGGTTTTGATTCCATCCGTCCTGTTAGGGTAGTGGGGAGAGGAAAACATTGATCCTCTGGATAAATATGCTGGATGTCAAAAGACTCTGTTACTACACATAAAAACTATATACATGATGTATCAAAAAGAACTATCTGATTTCAAAAGGATAGATATTTTTTAAAGCACATACGATACTCAAACTCATCCCATACTTTTGCAAGCATGTCAGGCTATTGCTACACTACCTGTCAGCAACCATGTGAAAGCCACAGATCCCTCTCTTCTTTCTACCTGTACATGTTTCAGTCATGACCAGTGAACGGCTTCAGAATTAAAATACTTTAAAATCAGATAATTCTTTTTGATATGCCGTGTATTTTTCACAGACATTAAACCGGACACCAGAAAGGACCAAACTCAATGTCATTACCTTTTTATAGATGGCACGTAGATCTCTGTACTGCCACAGTGTGTTCAGCACCTGAGCAGCTGCTTTAACCACCTTCATAGAGTACCTGGAGAAACAGTCAAAAGCCCAAATGGGTATTTTAGGGTATTCCTGAATGCCTTTAGCCTTACTTTAAAAAAAAACACTGTAAAAATTACAGGACATGATGTTTGAGGAAAGAGTTTGTCCTCAGTGTGTTTTACCCTGGAACATTACTGAATATATAGCAGGCTAGAAATAGCTGCTGTGCCATCATTCCACAGGGACATAAAACCTCAATGCATACAATGCCACCTTCCCTGTGGCTAAAACTTCTCCTTCTCCAAGCATCAAAGTGTTACTTAGGTGTGGTGTGTTTTTGTATAAAACTCCAGCTGGTCAGTGCCCAAAACAGCCTTTTATCCCCATCCACGACTCTGGTGGGGGTTTTTCACCGTGTGCACAAGTTACAGTCGGGTGTGTATCAGTGTGTACACTGAGAAAAAAAACAACAAACTCTCAGACAAATACGAGCTTCTGTAGCGCACCTG